GTCCATTGCTATTAATAGAATTTTTGAGGGTCCATTATTTCAGAAGTGGATGGCCAGACCTGGTTCCCAGTCTTAATCCGGAAGTTCTACTAAACTTTGTCCACCATGGATGAAATACTGGTGGCACAACCTCCAGCGTCACAGCACAGCCAGCTACCACAATATGACAAATTGACTGAGGACTGGCAGGTTGGAAACTAGTCAACCAATAAGAAAGGTGCTGTAGAAGATTATGTAACAGCAAGAATGGAATCCACCACACACTTTTTAAAAGGTTACATAATGGGGTTTCTTTTAAAAAAAATTCTTTTCTTTGGGGGGGGGAGTTTCTTAATAAAAAAAAGTATGTCAAGATTCTATCACCTACAAATCTCTGGTTTGTTGATTAAGAATTGAGTTCTATTTTCTACCTCTTCTTTCCCAGCCCCTTTCTTGCTGTTTGTCTCTCTTTTATATCCTTTTAAAATGATTGGAGCTCTGATAGCCTAGTGAATAAAGAGTTACGCTGCCAATCCAAAGGTTGGTGGTTTGAATCCAGCACCTCCCATGAAGGAGACAGATGGGCAGTCTCCTCCAGTGCAATCTACCTACTCGAGGGTCAGCTATGAGTCAGTTCTGACTTGACAGCACATTATCAAATTTTAATATTAGTATGTTGTTTAAGAAGAATAGAACATTAGAAATGGAATCATACAAAAGGAAAGAAACAAAAAGTTATTTGATGTGTATTAATGTATGTACTTGTATTTGTTGTACCACACACCTGCATTTTCCTCTCAGATGACTGTCATCCAAGTGCAAAGCTGGGCTTGGCCACAGAGCAGCAGCAATCCCAAGACGTTGAATGGGAGGCTTGTTTTGCCTCCAGGTAATGCAAAGTAATGCTTCACAGAGAGGTGCAGCCTTAGGGTTAACAGTGCAACTTCCTGTGGACTACACCACCAGAGCTCCAATACTGATCCGGAAATGGTCTATCAGACTCTGCTAGAGGACTAAGGATAGGAGGGAAATGGTGGTTCGCTTCTATAATAGTCATCACTTATCATTAGTAAAGTCCAATCTATTAACACATACACCTTCTGGGGTTGGAAGTGCTATTTCCAAACTAAAATAGTTATTCCGCTACTCTGCATAAGACCTCACTGGAAAAGTAGAATTGAAGAGGAAGGTCAATTTCACAATCAGCAGATGAAAAGTGGTTAATCTAAAGCACCAACAGATCATTGACCAATATCCCAGAGGCAAGTAGAAGCAGTTCTTACTGTGGCTTAGAGAAAGAGGTCAGCTGAAAGTAAAGTGGGAGGAAAATGAGATTCACAGAGCTAGACCAACGAAGAAATACAGGAGACGCACTGAGGACCTGTTCCAAGATGAGAGAAAGAGTAAGGTGGGAGCAAGGAGATCTGGAAGGCCAATTGTTAAGTAGGTTGGAGTTGAACTATCCGATTTCACAGAAATGTTAAGGTGCTCACATCACAGACTAGTAAGAGCTGAGCACATTTGTATTCTCGCCAAAATTCGTAGAGGGCATCCAAGCTGTATCTTGCATTCTTGTTATGGGTTCACATGACTTGGAGTTTGACATTATTAGATTCTATAAACATCTGTGGTCTATTTATGTATCAGAAAAAAATTCCCATGTGATTGAAGCTTACTCTATGCAAAGAAGCAACACACATAAAAGGTGAGGTATAGGAATTACTTAATGCTAAAAAATGTTGTTTGTAAAAGGAAGTTAGGAAGCTCTGCTTGCCTAGAGGATTGTGGTGATAAGCAACAGGGAGACAGACAGTTTGATGCGCCAGGTGCCCCTCAGGGGAAAGACAGGCAGTCTCCTCCCTCGCAATTTACAGCCTCCAAAAATCTGCTGGAAGTCAGTTCTGACTTGGTGACAATGAGCTTTTATACTTTAGTAGGAAGTTTTCAGAAAAGACTAGTTTTAAGCACACTTAACATGCTTTAAAACTTTTACACATATTCATTTATCAATAACTTTTAAAATTTAAAAAATAAAAGATTACACAATGGACAAAGCTTTGTTGCTTGGAATTAAGATGGTAAATATGGTATTAGAGTATCCATAAAGCCAAGCGTTGTTAATTAGTTTCATCTAGTGATGATCACAGCTTCTATAAGCAGACATGTATGGATGCATTCTGAACCATTCATAGATAGATAGATAGATAGATAGATAGATAGATAGATAGATAGATAGATGATAGAAAATTTACAGAGGCATGTTGAGTGAACACTAGTTTTTCCAAGTGTGACTTTTTTAAAATGATGAGACTATTAAGCCAAACATTAAACTCTCATTAAATTCCTGATACTGAGTTTAGGAAGGAGTCTCTTCAACTAAGACTCAGTTGTACAAAATGTCCAGGAATCTTTTTTACCCAAAACTGATTGCTTTGGGCTCTTCTCACTTCGATTCTCACCATCATCACCATTTCCAGATTTAGGGGGGTAATCCACTTTAAACTTGAAAATTGACATTTACAAATGCCATTGACTTTTTCCCAAAAATATATACTCTTGTTTTTAAAAAAAATCTTTCATTAAAATCTTGAATCGAAAAGGTCATTATTAACATGGAAAATAGTCTAATTACAAATAGATTTGTATCTTTTAAAGGACTAGATAAGTAACAACGAGAATGAACACTCTCAAATACACATTTTTTCAGCTCAAGATAAATACAGGAGAGCTCCGGTGGCCCATAATATGTTGCCCTACAAACCCAAAGGTAGATAGTCTCCAGGGATTCAAATCCACCTCAGGGGGAAAAAGAGCAGTCACCTCTCATTTTTATTTACAATCTCAGAAACCTGATGGAAAGTCACTGTAAGTTAGAAGCAGCTTGGTGAGAGTGAGTGAGTATGGGAGTGAGTGAAGATAAATACACTTCAATGTAAAGACTCTGAAGTACAAATAAAAATTAGAAGTGTCTTTGTCTAGCAGGCTGACATCTACCTTGTCATCTGTGATTTTCAAACATAACAACTTATTATCTCCCACTTAAGGACAAAGTACAAAGTGTGAAACTCAGAGAGTCAGATTTCTTGTGTCCTTTATCTCAGTTTTGCTTTTCAATTCAAGGAGCAAGGGTGAAAGGCAGAGTGGTGATAACTGACATAACTGACTGAGCTCTTCCTGCCTGCCTCTGATAATCCTTCCCACCACTCCAAGCATTGTCCTAAGGACTTACGTAATTTCCTCTGCCCACTTGATCAGGAACTGATTTTACAAAATCTAAGTAACCAACTGTCCTCAAATCAGATCAAACCCATGGTACCCCTGTGTCAGTGCCCCATAGAGATTTCTGTGGTTGATTTTTTTGGCAATAGATCACCAAGACCTTTTCCTGATGTGTCTCTTTCTAGACTGAAATCTTTATCCTTTTTTTCCCACTCTCTTTCTGAGGGATTGTCTTTTTTCATTATTATCATTATATAATCTTTTCAAAATTTATTATTAATTTCAATGAAAATTTACAGAGACTTTGGGTTTCCATTGATTCACTTTTCTACCCTCCCAACACCCCCCCCCAGTACACTACCCTCTTGGAAAAGTAAAATTCTTTCATTGTTTTACAATCCCTCCCCCCCAGGTCTACTCCACTATGCAGCCTTCACTCTGGACTCCTGTCATGACAAAAATACCTAATCACATATCCCTTTTAAACAATTTTCTCCCTCATCTGTTTCAATGCAGTATAAATTACTGAACCCATCTAAGTCTCCCTCCAACCCCGATGTCAGTCCTGTTTTACAACAGTGGCACCATGCAGTATTTGTCCTTTTTGACTGATGTACTTCAGCATAATGTCCTCCAGAGTCACCCATTTTATTTTTTATTTGCAATAATATTGCATGAGTTCCTTGTTTTTCAATGCAGCATAGTATTCCATTGTGTGAATATACCACAGCTTCTCTATCCATTCGTTTGTTGATGGGCACTTAGGTTGTTTCCAACTCCTTGCCATTGTGAACAAAGCCAAGATAAACATGGGTGTGCATATATCTGCTGGGATGTCAGCTATGGTCTCTTTGGGGTATATTCCCAGTAGTAGAATTGCTAGGTCAAATGGTATCTCTATTTGCAACTTTTTGAGAAAGTGCCACACTGCTTTCCACAGTGGATGCACCATTTTACACTTCCACCTACAGTGAATAAGGGTTCCAGTTTCTCCACAACCTCGCCAGCATTTGTTGCTTGCTGTTCTGCTAAATTTTGCAATTCTGACTGGGGTGAAATTATATCTCATAATTGTTTTTACCCTTTCCATTAGCTTCCAAGTACGTAACTATTTATGCCACTCAAAGGACTCCTTGCAAGATCTACCCATTTCAGATTCATTATCTGACAAATCCTAGTATATGTTACCTACCGCATTAAACTATTTCAGGAGAAATACATTTATTTTCATATGCAAGTAAGTGGAAATTTAAAGTATGTATGGCTGTACAAGCAAAACATTCCACTAATAAAATATCTTTTTTAGGTCAACCTGTACTTGGCTTTAGTTGGTAATTGTGGAAGAATGTGGCATATCACAGATTTCTTCATTAGTGTAATAACAGGCCTTTCTACAGTCCACAGTTAAAAGCACACAATGGTCTATGACAAAACTACAGTAATCACATTAAGTCCTCTAGCAAAGGTATCCAAACCAAACTATTTACTCATCTAAATTTAAAGTTCTAAGAGTGCTCTTAGAAAAAATATGTAAACATTTACTCAATTTACTTCCTAGCATACACCTCAAGGTATTTAATATTTATTACTTTATTAATTTATCAATATGTTGAAATATAAATCACAAAGGATGATTACTATCAGTATACCTTTTACAATAAATTTATTATAAAAATAATTAATTCACAATTATAATGTATCAGTAATAACAGCCCTAAAAAAAGGCATCATTAAATATAAAGGAGTAACTAGTGAATAATAGATTAAACATTTCAAAAGTCATAGTTTAGAAAAATACTTACTTTTTTGACTCCCTCTGAGAGGATATACCCTGATTTTCTCAATAATATCAACCACAATTAGGCAAGTCAGAACCAGAGATACTGAGAGGTCTGGTAAGGGATCAGGTGAATTATCGTCAGTGCCATTAATATTCTTTTGGACCTGTGTTTAGAAAACCATAGAGAAGTATTGAATCATTGTGCTTCAGAATTTTTTTCATAATGTGAAATCAGTATCAAACTAATCATAATATATTATTAAACCCCAGAATCTTTATTTTCCGTTCCTTGGGATCTAAGGGCTATAAGGTCTAGAATAATTTCTAAAGATAGGAGAAACAGTTGTGATAAAGGATTCATACTAATGGAAGAATTTTCAGTTATAGGTAGTTGTTGTTGTTGCTCTTGTTAAGTCCCCTCCAAAGAGAATCAACTTATAGCTGATCCTCTAGTGAGTTTTCAGAAGCATCTAATCACATGGGAGGAGACCGTCCATCTTTCTCCCACAGAGCAACTGATGGATTTGAACTGCATACCTTTCTGATGACAGTACAAATTCTTACCATTAAGCTACCAGAGCTTTACCAAAAGGTGAAGTTTGGTAAATGCATTCAAAATTTAGTAATGGTCTTTTGATAATGATAGAATGGATATTTCTTCCCAATCTCTTTGGTAAACACAGCCACTCAGTCTCAAGAAAAGCTCAAAAAGCTCAAAACCAAAAAACTCAATCTCACTGCCATTTAGTGGCTTCCACTCACAGTAACTCTCATCTGCATTTCCAAGGCTGTAAATTCAAACTGGAGGGGGTCTAGGGGAGGAAAGAGAGGGACTGCCCATCTTTCTCTGAGGAGCATCTAGTGGATTCAATCCTCCAGATACATGTATCCTCTGGGTTGGTAGAATCATTCACTAGAGACTAATGATATCAGAGCTCTCCATAAAAAGTGAAGGAGACAAAAATAAAAATGTAGGAATAACTATTAGAAGTCCAACTAGGCTTTGCGCACTTTCTTCATCTGATTAAGGGATTTAAAAAGTCATCTATAATAATTACTAGTTTTGAAAGATGTCCCCTGAGATCAAGGAGACACAAGAAAGATGCCACTGCAACTGCATCTATTCAACCCTGTACTGAAAGTCCTTGTCAGTATATTAAAATAGAGAAATCAATAGCCGAATGAGGGGAAATCACATATTATTATTCACAGGCTATCTGATAGCATTAAAAAACCTGCAACTTTTTACAATTATTTCTGCATAGCAAGAGCAAAACATCAAAAAATAAGACTTTAAAATATTGTTTTAATTTTTTAAGCCTCAATGTAACCTGAATCAAAATCTCAAATTTTTGTGGGAAATTATAAAGTGATTGTAAACTTTATATATAAATATGATAAGATTGATACTTTAAAGGGGAAAAAGGTAGAAAGATGTAGTCTTCTGAATCCAATGAGTATTTTAAAACAACAATGAGATATCATGTTACCCCAGTAGCAGTAGCACAGTTTAACAGAACAGAATGCAATAAATGTTGGGAACACTCAAGCACAGAAATTATAAAATGGTAATGCCATTGAGGAAGGCAGTTTGACGTTTCCTCAAAATGCTGCACATAAAATCCCATATGATCCAGCTATTACATTGTTAGGAATAGCTCTCAAGGAAATTAGAACTCAGACACAGAGATTTGTACACCTAAGTTCACAACAGTATTGTTCACAATATGAAGATATTAAAGCAGTCCAAAAGCTCCTGAAAAAAACAAATGGGTTGAGAAATTATGGTACATTCACACAAGGGAGTACTATGCAGTATAAAGAATAATGATTTCATAAAATACAATATAACATGGGAGAGTTTAGAGAATATCATGCTGAATGATCTAACTCAATCTCATAAGGACAACTACTGCATAAGGCCATTATTGTAAAATATAGCAAGATAAGTGTAAAATATGCAGAAAAGAAAAGGGAATGGGGAAAAGGGACAGAAAAAAGTAAGAGCAGAAATCACTAACATAACAGAGTTTAGTGGGTGGATTGGGGAGAGTGGTGAAGAAATACGAAAGATTCAATGGGGACTTGAAAAGAGGGGGAAATAATGGGCATAGATAAACAGTGATTACTTATATAAAATACAATGTGTATGAATGTTGTATTAAATACAATATAAATTTAAGATTGTATAAAACATATATACATGAATAAAACACAATGTAAATGAATTATTGAAAGAAAACCAATTTTAAAAAATAAAGGGAAAAAAATAGTGTTTCAAAGAGTATTACAGGAAACAATTATGTAAGATAAAATAAAAATTTGCAATGACGTAAAATAAAGATTTGCATTAGGCAAATCTGCTGTCAAGGACTTCCTTAAGTGCTAAAGAACAATGATGTCAATTGTTGGTTAAGGTACACCTGACACAAGTCACAGTATTTTTAATTGTTCCCTTTTGCATGTAAAATTTAGACACTGAACAAGGAAGAGCTAAGAAGAATTGATGCCTCTGAATTGTAATGTTGGGAAAGAATATTGAATATATCATAGACAGGCAGAAAAAACAAGAAATATGTCTTGGAGGAACTGTAACCAAAAAAAGGGCTCCTAAAAAGCTGAGACGGGAAAACTTAATCTCATGTATTCTAAGCTCATTGTCAGAAGCAGCCAGTCCTTGGGAAGACTATTATGCTTGGAAAGGCAAAGGATCAGTGAAAGAGAGGAAGACCCTCAATGAGACGGACTAGTACAGTGATTGTGATAATGGGCTGAAGCACAGAAGAGGCTGTGAAGATAATATAGCACAGGACAAGCTTTTGCTCCATTGAACATAATGTCACTATGAGTTGGCATCTACTTGACAGCACCTAACAAAAACAGTATTGGCATAGGAACAGGAAATTAGGCAGTAAGAGGAGACAGAATAGAAAATCCAGAAGGAAAAAAAAAGAAAACCCAGAAGCAGACAGTCCATATACACAGTTGTCTTAGAAGAAAGATAGAACCTTAAGGAAATAGTAAAGAACAATCCTTTTAATTAATGGTACTGGGACCATTGAATAGTATTTAGAAAAAAAAATACAATTTGATAATATATACAAAAATCTATACAATATATTCAAAAGTCAATTCCAAATGGATCATTAATCTTAAGTCAAAATGGTGAAGAAAAACAATACAGCTTCCAAAATACATTATAGGGAAATATCTTCTGAATTCTATGGTAGAAAAATATTTCTTAATCAAGGCACAAGAAACATTCACTTCTACAAGGTAGAACTGAATTTATGGCAATGAGTTTAGAGTATTTTATAGGTTATATTTTCACTCAGCAAGAGATAATATATATAGGTATATATATGAATGATTAAATTGTATACTAATCTGCTGCATAAACTTTTAATTCAAATTAACTTAAAAGATAACATTAATATCAGAATATTATGAAAGGCTATACTTTGAAAATTTGAAAACCTAGAGGAAATGGACAAATTCCTTGTGAACACAACGTGAACAGATGTAGAACACTTGAACAGACTCATCACAAAAGAAGAAATTGAGCAAGTCGTAAAAAGACTCCCCCACAAAAAAAGTCCTGGACCAGATGGCTTCACAGCTGAATTCTACCAAACATTCAAAGAAGATATATCACCAATTCTACTTAAATCATTCTAAAAAAGAAAAAAAGAAGGAACACTCACAGAGTTATTCTATAAAGCAAGCATAATACTAATACAAAAACCAGACAAAGATATTTTCAAAAAAAGAAAACTACAAATCAATATCTTTTATGAATAATGATGCAAAAATCCTTAACAAAATCCAGGCCAATTGAATCCAAAAACACATAAAAAAGATAATTCATCATGACGAGAGGATTCATAAGAAGTATGCAAGGATTGTTCAACATAAGAAAAAGTATCAATGTAATTCATTACATTAACAAGCAAATAAAAAGATCCTACCAAATGATGCAGAAAAGGTCTTTTACAAAATTCAACACCCCTTCTTGATCAAAACACTCAGTAAAATAGGAATGGAAGGGAATTTTCTGAACATTTTGAAAAGTATATACACAAAACCAAGTGCCAATATCTTTCTCAATCAAGAAAGACTAAAAGCATTCTCCTTGCAAACAGGGATCAGACAAGGATCCCCACTGTCACAATTCCTATTCAATATTGCATTGGAAATACTTGCTAGCGCAATACTACAAGAGAAGGAAATGAAAAGCATCCAGATTGGCAAAGAGATGCTATATGCAGAAGATAGGATAGTGTACGCAGAAAAGCCCAAGGTCTCAACAAAAAGACTATTAGAGCTAGTAGACCAATTAGGCAATGGGAAGATAAAAGAAAAATTTACACAAGTCTAGGATTCCTCTACAGTAACAAAGAAAACACAAAAAAGGGAAATAAGAAAGGAAAACCATTTATAGAGTGGTTATTGTGCACCATAGAATTAGAACCGACCCAAAGTTTACCCTCCAGAGGGTTTTCAGATGCAGTAATCACCTCGGAGGAGATAACCCATCCTTTTCCTACACCATTTACAATAGCCAACCACAAATTGAGATACTTGGGAATAAACCTAGCTCTAATGGCCTAGTGGCAAGATGTTGCACTTCAATCATGAAGACATGCAATTCAAGACTACTAACTACTCCAACTTTATGGTACAGAACAACAGAGAGACATAAAACCTTTACAAAGAAAATTGCAAAACACTTCTGTGAGAAACAATAAAAGACCCAAATAAATGGAAAAATGTTCCCTGTCCACAGATAGGCAGACTCAATAGAGTGATCCTATCCAAAGCAATGTACATGTTTTAACACAATATCAATACAGATACCAAATTAATTTTTCAAAGAGATAGAAAATGCAATTTGTCAAGTTTATTTGGAAGAGAAAGAGATCTTGAATAGAAAGTACTTCTGAAAAACAAGAATGAAGTGGAAGGCATAGCATACCCTGATGATAACCCAAACAGCATGGTGCTGGTACAATAACAGGCACATAGACCAGTGAAACAGAATTGAGCACCCAGAAATTAACCCATCTATGGTCAACTGATATTATATACGAAAACAAAATGTACCAAGTAGGGAAATGACAACCACATTAACAAATGGTTCTGGCAAAACTGGACTGCTACCTTCAGAAAGCTGAAGTAGGATCCACACCTCATACCATAAAAAAAAAAAAATCAACTCAAGATGGATCAAAGACCTAGACATAAAGCCCAAAACCATAGAGATCATGAGAGACAAATTGAGACCAAGCTTGCAAGGCCTCACTTATGGTATAAAGAGGCTGTCAAATAAAGCTAGAAATACACAACCAGAAAGGAATAAAACTGATGAATGGGACCTTCTGAAGATTAAATCCCTGTGTGCATAAAAAACTTTTTTCCAACAGAAGAAGAAGAAAACCTACTTACTAGGAAAAAAGCATTTTGCGATACCATCTCAGACAAGGGTCTCGTAACAAAAGTTTACAGAATCCTACAGGATTTCCACAAGAAAAAGACTGATAATTCAATTGCAAAATATAGGGAAGAGACATGGAAAAACTTTTTACAAAAGACATTTGGATGGCCAACAGACATATAAAGAAATGCTCAAAATAACTGACGAAGAGATGTAAATCAAAACAACAATGAGATACCATCTCACCTCAATAGCAGTGACGGAGTTTAACAGGACAGCAAGCAACAAATGTTGGAGAAATAGGAACGAACTCCCATTCACTGTGTGTTGGATTGCAAACAACCACTCTGGAAGGCAGTTTGGCATTCTTCAAAAAGCTAACATAGATACTCCATGTAACCCAGCTTCAAAAAGCTAACATAGATACTCCATGTAACCCAGCTATTCCACATAGCTAACCCAGCTATTCCACTGCTAGGAATATACTCTAAGGAAATTAGAACTGATACACAAATGGAGATTTGCATACCAATGTTCATAGCAGCACTATTCACAAACACAAGAGCATGGAAACATCCCAAATGTCCAGCCACAACCAAATAAATTGAGAAATTGTGGTACATTCCAACAATTAAATAATATGCAGCACAGAAGCAACAATTTTGAAAATTACTATATAACTTGGGAGAGACTGAAGGGCATTATACTGAGTGAACTAACTCAGTCTCATAAGACTAAATGAGTAAATTCCAACCCTAAATGGTAATTAGAGTTCTTTCCTTCCACATAGATGGAAAAAAAATACTCAACAAAATCACAGTAAGAAATGAGCAACAGACTTGAACATGCATTTAATAAAATATGACCAAAAGCATACGAAACTCAGAAACGACAATGACATTCAAGAACATGTCCACCAGAATGACTAAAACAAAACTAATTATAATGTAAGCGCTGGTGAGATATGGAGAAACAAAAGTGTTCACACACGAGTAGGAGTCCAAACTGCAGGAACTTCTGGGAAGACTGTTAGGTATAATCAGTCACAACTGTATATTTAAGAGTTGTGCTGTGAACCAAAAGGTACACAGTTCAAATCCACCAGCTGCTCCTCAGGAGAAAGATGGGCAATTTTCCTCAGTGTGATTAACATTCTCTGAAAATCCACTGGAGTATCAGCTATGAGTTGGTAGTGACTGGAAAGTACATAACAGCAACAACATGGCCATTAGTTGAATGTAGAGATGTTCAACCAGGTGAAAGACATGCAGGGGGACACCAGGAAACAGGCTCAAAGACATTCACAACAGCATTATTGGAAGTCATTACAATTAATAAGTTGTGATATATTCATAAAATTAAATACTCTACATAGTCGTGAAGCAGAACAAACTTTCTAGAGTTATTTGCAAAGACACAAATGTCTCTCACAACCATGCTTTCAAATAAAAGAAGCCATTTACAAATGTGTGTGTGTGTGTGTGTGCGCGCGCGCATGTGCGTGTGTGTGTGTTTGAGTCCCCTTATAAAATGTTCAAACATAGGGGAATTAACCTATGTTAATATTTAAAAGTTACTTCTAAGCCAGAGGGGAATTAAAAGTAGTTATAATAATGAATAAGGATGACGGAAGAAGATTTGAAGCCTTTGAGCTGTGGTGTTGGAGAAGAGCACTGAACATCTCATAGACAGCCAATAGAACAAGTCGATATGTCTTGGAGAGGATGCACCCAGAATGCTCTTTGGAGGCTAGAATGATGAGGTCTCACCTCACATACTTCGGGCATCTTGCTAGAAGAGGCTATTATTCCTTGGAGAGGGACATGATGTTGGGAAGGGTGGAGGGTCAGCGAAGGAGAGGAAGACCCTCACCCAGATGGATTGACAAGGTGACTGCTGCAATGGGATTTTGTGTGTCAGGAAATAGGAGGATGGTGCAGGATAGAATAGGGTTCAGATCTTTTGTTCATAGGATCGCTATAAGTCATACTCAACTCTATGGCACCTAACAACAACAAAAACAACTTTATAAGGAAGATAGGGACAACTTCTAGAGAGCTACATGTTTTAGGTCTTGATTTGAGTAGCCTTTACACAGGTTTGTTGCTCTCATATCACATTGATATCATACATTTATGCTTTGTTCATTTTTCCATTTGTGCTTATTCCACACTGAAACATTAAATAAGAAAAAAACGGAAATTAAAACATGTAACAGCAATTAAGACATAATGGGAAGAATCCAAAAAGAAAATACACCAACATTTTATGATACAGGCAGTCTTACAACTGATTTTAAGTAATTTTATCTTTTTTAAATGCTTTCTAAGTATCCCAGGGAGAGGAGAATGAAAAATCTAGACTGGAAATTCGTTTGTTATAGCTTGTTTGCTGTGATGTACGTCTGCACAGTCTTCTGAGATTGTTGCATATACCCCTGTATACTGTTACTATAACGTTTAGGGTGGATATTAACAATCATGCCACTGTTAACGGCATCATTCATTGCCCAGTATTCACCTTTTTCTTTTCTTTTTAAAATTATTTTTCTTTTAAATGTGATTTTAACAAAAGTTTACATAAAAGTTGGATTTTCATTCATTCATTGTTGCACATTTTCCTCCCTCTCCCTCCCTTCACACATGTTCACTTTAAAAAAAAAAAAAATTCATTCCTTTTTGCACACAACACTCATCAAATTTGCTCTAATTATCTATTTCCTCTGCTCCCTAAGACAGTAAATACAACACTGATAGCAAAGACTGTTGTATTTCCTAAGTGTTTTACTCCTAGTGCCTAGCAGTGCCTGGCACACAATATGTACTAAATAAGTAATTATTCAATAAATAGAATGTGATAGTGTACTTGAGGTTGCACATGTTGTAGAAATGAAAATTACATGTGGCACAGCATCGTGAAAATGACTAAGCTTAATGAGATATTATTTTTTTCATTTTCTGGGATAATAAAGTTTTCACAACTTGAAAGTTCTTCCAGAGTCCTTTTGAAACCATAGTCAGGCAAAATAGAAACGCAGCATTATTTTCAAATAAATAGTAAGTGCAAAATATTTGTCAATGGGTGTAATAGCAGAGGTATGGGAACGTGAGTGCTCTTAGGATCATGTTGTTTCCTCCTTAGAACTGGAGATGATCATGAAAAACAAGGTTGGGAAAAGGTGAAAATATGTGCCTATATTACAATTCCTTCTTTGTTGTTTAATGATGCTATACACAGATACAAAGAGTTTGGTTTGGGTTTTGTTTTCTTTTTTTTAAGTTATATTCTAGATATTTACAGGAGTAGCAACAGTCTCAAGACACTAAAATATATATACTGTAATTTGAAAGCAGATTGGATAAAATGAATCTGAAGAAATTTGTTGAGGACATCATTCTATCAAATTTCAACAATGAGAATTTTTTAAAAATCTCAAAACCTAAGAACAGAAGAAGTCAAAATTCCATACCTCAGCCACTGCTATAGAAAAGCTGAAGCTGGGAAGTGTGGTGAGTACTACACACATCATCATAACAGGTCTCCTAGGAAAGGAGAAAAAAATAAGCAAAAGCAATAATGTACAAGATCAACAGTTCCTGTTACATTCTGCTAATTCATCTATTGTTTTTCTAAGAAGCTACTGCTTCCCTATTTCCATTTCCCAAATGTATGCAAATAGCAAAAAGGAACACAGACAAATACCAGCATACTTTCGAGAGCAAAGGGAAGAACCGATTTCCAAATAATTAGCAAACCATAGAAACCACTAAAGAACATTGTCAAAATCAAAGCCATTGCGGTCCAGTCAAGTCAGACTCATCATGACCCTGAAGAACAGAGTAAAACTGCTCCATTGGGTTTTCAAGGCTGTAAATATTTATAGAAGTAACTATTTAGCAGCTATGTGATTTAACCACTGTGCCACCAGGACTCCAGTTAGAAAAAAAAATACAGTACAAATCAAAAGAAAGTCACCATTTGCATTTTGTTTAATATGAATCTTGAACAATTCTCAGGCTTTGCTGGCCAAGTGAAAAACAGAACAAGGTAACTCTTGAGCTTGTGTATTTCATGTTTTTAACTTATTTTTTACAACAATAGAGACGATAACTATTAACTTAAGATCATTTAAAGTAAAAGCATTTGGATACTATTTTTGTACGTGAACAAAAAAGATTTAAAGCATACTCATATAATTTTTTAAATGTGTGTTTTATTATTAAACTTTCATGATCAGTCCACCAAGTAATCAATGAAAATAAAATTTATTTACAATATTATAATCTTTTGGCACAAAATTTCAATGATATTCAGCATCATTAATTTATAGAAGGCAAAATAAACTCAAAGATTTTCTCTCATGAAATGTTCATCTCCTCTTTTCTTTTATGACAGTGGGCCAGCTGAAGTAAGGTAGTTAAATACATACATACGTTAACTAAATTTCTACACTAAGGTGCAAAATCTGTTCAGCTCTTTCAAATTCAAAGAATTTCTCCTTGATCTTCTCATGATTTTCCCTACCTCAGTGCTATGGAAGATGTTAGAGTTGTGCTTTTCCATACAATTAACATGAATGTTTTACATTTGTTTGTTAATTATGCCCTATCCAGATAGTTTTGTATATGCCCTAAATTGGAATTGCATGCTTTTGGAAATACCTACAGAGATGGGGTGCTTGTTTGCAAACAGTTGTAGAACATGTGTTATTTCTGTAAAAATATGTATGGGTAATTTCTCAGACAGTATTGTTCCTCTCCCATAGCCAAGCTGGCACCACTTGATTAAAATCAGAGCTACTAAGAGATTCTAAATTAGGGGTTTTCCTCTTCATTGGCAGAGCTCTGTCCTAATGAGAAGACTGTCTAGAGCTTTCACGGGCATCTCTGGGGGCTGCACAAAGTGAATGTGCTCAGCCGCTTCCCAAAAGTGCTTTAGAAGAACTCGCAAAAATAAGCCTTGGGAAATGCTAAGGCACACAGTTCAACTCTGACACACACAAGGCTGTCGTCATCAGCTTCACAACTAAGGGGTTTTTTGGTTGATTTTATTTTTTTTAAAGAGCACTCATAGAGTTCTTATCAATTTGATTTCTAAAAGAAAGGTTGTATTCCCAGAATTATTCCTGGACTTTGTATTATCTCTTTTCATCTCATTCAATTTTATTATTTTTAAATACCATATTCCAACACACACACACACTCTCTCTCTCTCACTCTCTCTCACTCTCTCTCTCTCTCTGTCTCTCTCGCCTTTTTCCTCACCTGAGCTCTGGACTAAAAAACCAACTGTGCATTTGATGTTTCCACTCAGATATCTAACACATAATTCAGACTTGCCATATTTAAGTTCTAACTCACGCCCTTCTCTATACATGTTGTATCATCAAATCTTGTCTTCTTTGTTGTAAAAAAAATATATTACAGGCTGTTGTGATGGTTAAAGCCATTTATTAACTTGACTAGACCAGGATTCCCAGAGATTTGGAAGCTATATAATGACAGAGTGATTTCCTATGATGTGATCAATCAATTGCAAAGGGAGCTGTGTGGTTTGCATCACTGATATATAAATGTATATATGTATTTGGGGCATGTTGTCAGGAGAGTTCAGCCCTTGGAAAAAGACATGGTGCTGGATAACATGGAGGATCAGAGAAAGAGGAAGACCCTCAACAAGGTGCATTGGGACAGTGACTATAACGATGGGTTGAACACAGTAAAGATTGTGAGGATGGTGCAGCATAAAGCAGAGTGAATGAAATATTTAATAAATGAGTACCAGTCCAAGGCTAAGGGATTAGTAAATATCTAGATATGATCTCACTTATACAGTGCAAGACTTCAAGAACAATAGTATAGTTTTGCAACCCAAGGTGAAATTGACTAACATTTCTGAGAAAATCTTGCTTTCTTGGAATGGTTTTCTCACTCTTAGGAAACATCAAGAGTCCAAACCAATCCCACGCCTGTTAATTGCAGCTCATACTGACTCTCCATTTGGTTTCTGAGGCTGTAAATTCTATGGGAGGAGACTGTGCATAAAAGCCTTAGGGAGCTCTGGTTGCCTAGCCTGTAGGGAGTTATGCTGCTAACCCAAAGGCTTTGGCTTTCTGGTGATATGAATCCACCAGTGGCTTCTTGAAAGAAAGATGGGCAATTTCCTCCCATGTGCTTTACGGTCAACTTTAAGTTCATTACAACTCAGAGGTGCATAGCAATGTATACATTTATATATAGATACACTAATTTATATATTTATAAATATATATTGACTCTTGGTACCAGCAGCCAGAAAATTAAAAGACAAATTGCATTGGGAAAGTCTGCCGTCAGAGACCTCTCCAAGGTACTGAGAAGCAACGATGTCAGTCTGGAGACCAAGGTGCACCTAACATGGGCCATGGTCTTTGTAATTACTTGCTATGCATTAGAGAGCTGGACAATGACTAGGGATGATAGAAGGAGAGTTGATGTCTTTGAGCTTTGGTACTGGAGCAGACTATTGAATATACTATGGACTGCTAAGAGAACAAACAAGTTTGTCCTGGAGAGGGTTAAACAAGGCTGATTCTTAGAGGCAAGGATTCTGAGGTTTCGTTTGACATACTTTGAATATGTTGCAAGGTGGGAGGACAGTGCAGGAGAGGAAGATCCTCAATGAGATAGATTGATTCAGTGACTGGGCTAATGGGGATAGGTGTGTCTGAGACAGTAAGATTGACAAGAGATAGAGCAGGGTTTAGGGCTGTTGTACATAGGGTCGCTAAGAGTCACAAGCAACTCAACAGCACATAGCAACAACAACAACAATATTGATAATTAGATACTAATTAATACATTATTAATCCCTAAGGACTAAGCCATTTAGAGCTCCATATGCGGAGGGTTATTGTTGTTTTTGTGTGCTGTTGAGTCAGGATGAACCCACCTTAGAGGACCCACCAGTGGGGTATCAGAGGTAGTAAATTGCATGGGAGGATATTGCTCATCTTTCTCCCATAGAGCAGCTGGTGATTTGAACCATGTGCCTTTGGGATTGCAGCACAGCTTTTAACCACTAGGGCACCAGAGCTCCCTAAGAGGAAAGTAGAAGGACGAATCAAAAAGGGGACCTTCCTTGCAATAACCATGGCTGACCAAAAAAAAATTAAAAGGGGGCTACCTCCCCTGTCAGTACCAATAGAGCTTTTTTCGTGTATGAGGGTTTGCGCTGCTAAACCAAAAGTCGCAAATAGCTTAGCAGGAGAAAGATGGGCTATTTCTTTCTGTATGATTTATAGTCTCTGATACTCAATGGAGGGCCACCTATGACTTTTCCTGTCTTGACAACAATGAGAGGAATGTAGGGCTCAGTTGATAATGACCTATTAGTGTCTATAACCCTCTGTGTCTTCCTCCTCCTTAGTGATAAATGTCAACTTTTGATGCTGCTCTTTTCTGGGAAAATGAGAAATTTGTAGAGCTCCACTGTCAAGGAGTTTTCCAGTATAAGGACTGGGGTTCAAATGACAAGGATGGGTTTTGCTCCTGGATCTTCTGGGTTGGTGATATCCCTCTTCTTTGGAGATAATCCTCTTCTCTCTCCTTACTTCTTACACTTTTCCTCTTTCATAAGACAAAGTGTGATGAAAGTAATGTTGTTATTATGGGCTGTCAGGTCACCTGTGACTCATGGTGACACTATGTACCACAGTTATAAAGCTTGCCCTGTCTTGAGCCAGTCTCACTGTCTCCAGCATGCCTACTCCCATTATCAAAGTCACTGTGTCAATCCACCTCGTCTGGGGTCTTCCTCTTCTGTGCTGCCCACACACCCCATGCCTCCAAGAATGATATCCTTCTCCAAGGACTGGTCCTTCCTGGCCACATGCCTATGTGAGAAAGAGCTTCAAAATCCTTGCCTCCAAGGCGAAAATTGTTTTTTCCCTGGTCAAACAGGACAGATCTGTTGTTTTCTTGACAGTCTATGATAAATTCAACACCTCTCCAGCACCCCAACTCACAGGCATAGATTCTTCTTCTATTATCTTTAGTTACTGTCCAGCTCTCTGATACATAGCAAGGAATTACGAAAACCATGGCCTAGGCCTGGTGCACCTTAGTCTCTAGACTGTTATTACTATTATTCAGTACTCTGGAAAGGTCCTTGACAGCAGATTTACCTAATAGAATTCATCTTTTGATTTCCTGATTGCTGGTGCCAAGAGTTAATTGTGAAGCTGAACAAGCTGAAACTGAACAATCTCAATCTTCCTTGTACATCAAGCTAGTGCTGTCATGGGATTAAGGATGTTGCATCCCTCTCTTAATTCTTTGACAACTGTTGTTGTTGTTGTTATGTGCCATCAAGTCACCTGCAACTCATAGCGACCTTATGTACAACAGCACTAAACCTTGCTCTATCCCTTGCCAATCTTATTGTCTCTAGCACACCTACTCCCATTACTCCAGTCACTGAATCAATCTATCTCATCGAAGGTCTTCCTCTCTTGTGCTGTCCCTCTACCCTCCCAAGCATAACGTCCCTCTCCAAGGACTGG